TACATTGCATGAACTAGAAAAGCTGGCTGCTGGCAATGGATGTGGGATTCCATTGAACAATTGATTAATCATCACATTTCATCTTTCTACAATATTAGAGAAGGTTCATGAACCAGCTGATCCTCCCCATGTTACTCCTGATTCACATTGATATAAGCAGTTAACAAAAAATAACAATCTAAAAGTATCGTGTAACTTAAAACATCATATAGATGGTTCTAAATATTGGACAGATTGAGAACATAATATAACATAAGAGAATATATCTATCTTATTAATTATCGTTACATTAAGGATTCATGTATGTGCGACAACTCAATCTGCGCCAACTACAGACTAAAGCTGAAAAGTTGAATTACAATATAGAGAGATAATGAACATTTGTAACCCTTGATCTGTTATTGAAATCCACGTGTTAGTTAGCTTATGGAACCAGGCAAGAGTCCTTGAGTTTTTAAATAGGAGCAACGGACACATTACTGACTAAATAATGCAGAATGGAATAGATCAGGCCTACAATGGTCGATTCAATGGATGATTACAATGTTAATCTCTACTTGTGGGGATAATAATACTCATCAAGTACAGATAATCAAAGTTTAAAGAAGGCAATAAAGGTATAGAAAAAGAAGAATTTATTCTACAAATGAATGAAACAAAAGATAGTGACACTGGAATAGAAACACTTCAGGAGTTGAGAGGAAGAGGGACAATTTTGCCTTTCTAGCATTCCAGGTCACGACTTGTCGAGAAAGTAGTAGTGTGCTAATGTCTTTAACTCAACTTAAGCACCAATATTCAGACATTTGCACAACTAATGGTGCTCTAATTGAGGTCCCACACGCCAACTAATCTAATGGTAATCATAAGTTAAGCTAGTTCTTTCATTTATGTAGCAAATATTAAATTTTTAAATATTACTTTGGTTGATGAAATTGAAGTTTTTAATTTAATTATAGATTACAAGTTTGTTTTTCTTGTCGAATTTATAAATTACAAGTTGGAACTAGTACTGCACAGTTGAGCTTATATGAACGAAGGGGCTTATTGAGCTGGTATAAACCAGATTGGCAACCGTAAATCTTAAAATAAGAACCATGTGTAATTGTTGGCCACTTGAAGAATGGAAAGGGAGGAATGGTCTTGGAGACAAGAAGATATTATAATTAACTAATTAGTAAAGTTATTTTTTTTATTTTATTAAAAGGAGGTCAGCTGGTGTCTTTACCACGATGATCTATTCTTTCGGGACCGAGAAGACTCACAGAGGCTTTCAACCTTTCCCTGACCACCATCGTACAATTCATCGGCTTTAGGAATCGAACACAAGATGTGTTGTGTGATATACGGGCCTAGATTTCCCAAATCACTGGGCCACTATGTAGTGATTAATTAGTGAAGTTATTAGATTAAAAGAAAGTTGTTTGACATATACATATAGGCCTTTTGCAAAACTTTAACTTTCTCCAAACCTTGTAGCGAATTTATCCTTACAAGGATAAAACTCATTAAAAATATAGCTCAATTGTTGCTACATGACTTGCAAACTTGGAAAGGGATCCTCTCCGGTCCCTTCAACCAAGTCCTAGGGATCCAACAATCCGGATCCTTGAAATTTGATTCAACGGTTACAAATAGAGATTTATTTTAAACGTTATAATAATTTTAACCGTTAAATCAAATTTCAAGAACCCGAATTGATGGATCCCTTCCCTGCAAACTTATCCACATGGACTGTGTCTTTAACTGTTAGAAAAAAGTTTGAACTGTTTCCTTAATTAATTAATTGTTTGATAAGATTGACAAATGTTCTAGGTAATCTAAAAGTTCTTATGTCCCTATTATTAATTATATACTCTACCAAAATAAAGCATCATAAACTCTTCTGTATAACATAATATACTTGGGCTTTGAAATATAATAAAGGATGCTCTTAGATGAAAACCTTATTGTACTTTAAAGAGAGTTTTAAAATATTTTTCTTCAACTAGGAGGAAGAAAGAAACTTTGAGCAAAGATTCTGAGTAGGGTTTGTAGGATAGGAAAAAATAAAAATAAAAATTTAAGTTACTGGTTATAACATCCCACATCGTTCAGGTGAGAGGATCATCTCTACCTAGCACGAGACCTTTTGGGAACTCATTGGCTTCGGGTTTCGTAGGAACTTCGAAGTTAAGCGAATTCGCGAGAGAGCAATTTCAAGATGGATGACCCACTGGGAAGTTCTCGTCTGAGTTCCCAGAAACAAAACCGTGAGAGTGTGGTAGGAGCCCAAAGCGGACAATATCGTGTTACGGTGAGGGTGTGGTAGGAGCCCAAAACAGACAATATCGTATTACGATGAAGTCGAGTCCAAATTGTGGTTTCTTCTATTTGCACATAAAATTGTTAACACCTACTCATAATTAATATGAAAAATGATGATTAATTAGTAGGTGTTTATATGCACATTTCATTTCTTCTCCAAAAACAGATCCATGTCTTCTTTTGTATGAATTCCTCTATTTTAATTGTGAATAATTAATTCGATAGTTTTTATTTTTTATTTTATGTTATTATCTTGTTATAGGCCACTTGCTTTTTTTTTTTTTTTTTCTTTAAAAAACTTGCTTATTTTTAAGCTGTATATAAGATGTAAAAAAATGATGCTGACAAGTGTCCGATTGACCAGTCAAATTCGACACCAAGTAGCATATGGGGCCAAGTGCACGTGTGGGGGTGATTGCTTCAGTTTTCTTTGTTCCAATTATCAAATCTAGAAGTAGAAGACTATAACTTCACCTACATTCCTAAAGAATCCGACATGATTGTGATCCAAAGCATTAAGAAGATAATCAAATTGTTATAAAAAATAACGTTAATTGATTAAGATTAAGCATGCAATCATAATCTCATATTGTAGATATTCAACCTTCAACCTCTAGCTAGTTAATCTAACGACGTTGAAGAAATATTTTTCCTGTTTTAGTGATGTATTCCTTACATATCTTTTTATACATACCATTTGAGTTATAAAGTGATAAATAAGATAGAGAGAGACATGGAACATATCCTTGTTACATAAGAGTTTTTCTCGTAATCTTAACGAATTGATGATAACTCGTGAGTACAACATCAATAGAATTTTCATTTTCAAAAGGTTCCATGGAGGCAATTAGACAGCAATAATCTTGCTGTCCATGTATTTAACATATTATTTCATCTATGTCTCTTTGGCCATCTTACGTCTTAATTTGCTTACAACTCTGCTTATAAAAAAACAGAAATCATGTTGTTTGAATAGAGGGCAATTGTTCAAAGTCCAAACCCTAATATAAGGGGGTGTCACATTTGGATCATCTATGGTCTTCTAGTAAGAATAATGAGGACAAATATAGGATGTAACTTCTCTTAGGGTTAATGAACGATAGCTAAATTAGTGATAGTGAAAGTTTTGTTTTTAATCATGATAGACCATGACTTCTAAGATACTGAGACAAACTAGAAGAAGCTAAGAGAGTCTATGAAGTTCAATGGAAATTACAATTATGGCGTAAGTTCAAAGTAATTTTCTGTAGACTGCTGTTTTGTCATGACCCTTTTGAACTTTGAATTTGTGTAAAATCCGCCAATAGACAATACCTCATTGCACATGTCTCCCAATCTGGTCGGATATGTGCCACCTATTACCACCATGAGAACATCCTTTCTTGATCAACGTTTTCACTTCTTTCCCCACAACTATATATTTTTATTAAAATCACCGCCTTCGTGTTGTTGGAATCACTTTGCGATGTGATTCAATGATAGTAACTGCCTTGTTATATTATATTTTGCAGAAAATCGGAAAGGTTTGAAGTTATTGAACCATTCGATCGTGATTATGAACACTTCGCCTCTTCACATTGTTGTGCAATTGTTATACGGTTCAATGGTTTCAAATTGCATTATTTTTGTAATCATGTTTCTTAAATAAAATTCGAAAAAAATAAAGAGTTCGAATCATCAAATCGCATTGATGGTTTCGACACACCTGCAATTCCTTCTGATGAATTGTAGAAAAGTATTCTTATTAAGAAACGTAAAACCAACGGATTATTGACAATTTTACAAGAAGTGTTTTATTATTGATTATTAACAACCTTAAGCAGCAAAGCAAACCCTAATATATCACCCTTTTGGGGGTTTTTGTCATATTATTTTTTTTTCATGGGGGTAGAAGTGCTTTTAAGCTTTACCTAGGGTGGGATCCTAAATATAGCTCTATCTGCCTAGCAGTAGCAGACTAGGTATGGCTATTGTTAATATAACCTAAGCTTTCATGGCAGGTAAATGGTGGGGAACCCGATCATTACTAACCCAAAAAGCTTAATAGAATTAAGATTACCGTCCAAACTGGAGTTCATTATCTGGGATTAAACTATGTCACAATCACAAAACATCAAAACTAAAAGGAAGTAAAGACAAATATTAGGCAATGAAGATAAGAAGTTGGAAAAATCCCACCACTCGAAGGAGAAAAAAGGGTTACTCATGCCAGCTAGGATTTGCAATCAACTTGGCAGTTGTAAAACTAGAAAAATGTTTTAAGCAGTAAGTAAAAGAAGAGAATGGGATAGAAGTGTAGGTAGGTACGACTTCAAACGCGATGATATGTGTTTTAATGTTTTCACATGACATTGGATTTTTAGTTTAGAATGTCATAGACTTACGGTAGAGATGTAAGAAAATCTCTCTCCAATAGCAAAAGAGAAACTTACCTACAATTGGAACGCCATTGTTGGAAGAAAGCAAACCCACCAAGCATTGTCATGTGGAGAAAATTAAAATACATGACAATACTTAATTGGGTTAGTTTACTCCAGAGTTGCGTCCTAGTTGTAAGTTCGTTCTTCTCCCAACGGGGTTGCCTATTGTTCAATCTAGTTTTTGGCAACCATTCCAAACTGATAAGCACATAGAAGTAGCAGATCATCACTTTGTACCCAAAATACTGTAGCAAGACACTGGATGAACATTGGTTAATCAAAATTGCTAAATTTTATTAAATGCAAAATTCAAGTTACAACAACCTTATATACGAGCTACGTTTTTACAGAGGTAAACTCAGAGCAGTTTGTTTTGATTATTTAAGAAAATTCGTCTTCATCATCGGAGGTAGGCAAACCTTTGAGCACATCTCTTAATGCATAGTAATGGCTCACACACTTGTGGTCAGTAATTATGTTGCTTGACAGCACAATCCTCTGAAAATGCTCACCCGGATGCCTCTTCCAAAGTGTAAAATACTCCCTTCTGCTGCCGCTGCTGCCGGTACGAGCATCAACATTCCTCTTTAGGCAGTAGACGGTACCTGGTACAAATAATTCCTCAGGCACTTTACAGGCAGCTCCTCCACTTTTAATAGCACCAGCATTATCTGTTACTTCTCTGTCATTTAAAGGGACCCCAGGAGCAGTAGGAATTTTCTTTATGATGGGACCATCTGTTCAGACACCATAAGATAATTTGGTGAAGGGAAGATCATGTGGTGTCGAGCATGTTAAAGCTTAAATTATTCATTAACGATTGATGAGGTATAACGACCCATCTGTTGAGATTTGATGCTTCTCCAACAAAACAAACACCATCAAGCAGAGAAAAACAAGAAATTTCCAGTGCATCCACACCCCTTACTCCAATATAATGAAAATCATTCACGCAACATACAGATAAGCCAACAATTATACAATTGAAGGTACGAAAAATGCAGCCTGAGATTGTTTTGAAGATCAAATCCACACATGCCCAACAATTGCAGCATAAATATTGATCAATGATAGTACAAATATATAGCACTTTTGTTACAACCTGCATGTCACGACACAGCAATGCATAAAGATACAATTGACTGAACTAAAATACACTAGCATTGACACACTAGGCACAGAGCAGGGTGGGATTACCAGAAGAATGTTTACTGCTCCCAAACTTTGCATAATCAGAAAGCTTCCGAGCAACATCTTGCACCGAAGACACAACCTGCTTTGCATTTGTAACCAAATCTATGACACTTTTCCAATCTTCCTTCTCAATCACGCTCATCCTGCAAAACGTAATGTAGAAAAATAAGTCTGAAGTGTGAAATTTTGATAAAGCCTTCAAAGTTAACATCAAATTGCCACAAGTGCAAAACAAATTGATGCTCACAAAAGAAGCAACTTTTCCGCTTTCCATTTTCCATGAATTGATGAATGATGCTTTCCAGTTAACATAAATATGTAAAGTTTCATCCAATTTGGTGCCAAATTTATTCATGGCCAAATTCTTTTCTTATCCACAGCAATCCAAGCAAGAGGATTAGACACGAACTATTAAAGGTGCACAATAATTTTAATTCCAAGCAGTAGAACAGGCATAGCATAGACCTTACCAAAAGAAGTGCACATACAGTCTTTTCTACCAAAATAATTGAAAGGCTTAGGGCATGTTTGGTACTCTACTAGAATTCAACTTTTTAAACTCAAAAACAATTTTCAAGTTTTAGGCCTTAAAAACTTGTTTAGTAGGACTATTTTCAAAAATTGAACTCAAGACTAACTCAAAAATATAATCCATTCTCTGAAAACATAAAAAGTGAGCTTTTAGAGTTTTTAAATTTAACCTCCTTTCTTTTCTCTATCCTCCCCTCTCATTCCAAATCTATCTCTCTTTTCTTCTTTCTTTCTCCTTTTTTTTTTTTTTTTTTTTTTTTTTTACTTTTGTCATCTCTCCTCCAATCCGCTCTCTTCATTCTCTCGATTATTTGTATTGCTCCTCTTCCTCTCTATCTCATCCAATCCTCTCTCTTCTGTCTCTTTCCTTCAATCATCTCTTACTTTCTTTCCTCCTCTTTCCTCTTTCTCCCTCTCCTGCGACCCCCTCTTTTTAGATCACTTTATCTAGTTTAAGTCATAAGATTTAAAAATTTTAAATCACAAACCAATCAAGTTTTTGAGTCTTAAAGAAAATTGTTTTAAAAAAAAATGTTCTTAAGAAATGTTTTGAGAAATGATAAAAAATTTCAAATAGGATACCAAATAGGCCCTTAAATTCCTAGAGTCACCAAAATATCCATAGATTTCCAAATTTCCACGCAGGATTTATCCCAATATGCAAGTTCAAGATCCCGATTCTCTGAATTATTGAAATTAGAAATTTCTGAGAGTAGACAGTGCAGGCAAAGTACCAGGAATGTAGAAAATATCAATTGCAACTGCAAGCAATAGATATACAAAAACTAGTTCAAAATCTTCTTTGAGTTCTCAACCATTTGGTATATGAAGCATTTTGGTCTCAATTCAAACGACTAGTGTGCGTTTTTTTTTTTCTCAACATATCTTGAAAAAGAGGTGACAAGAAATTGTGAAGAAGCACATTTACTTACCAATCGGTTTTAAGAATTTCACTCCTCAACCTCGTTAGAGATGCTGGACTTAGCCTAGGTATAATATCATCCTGCATGAAAGTAAGTCCTAAGTTTGTAAGAATTTAAAAAGGGCAAAATAACAAATAAAACCAAAGAAATTTAACTGCAACGAGTAGATATAATTAGATTGAAAGTGCTTCTTCTAACAAAAGAATTATTAAAGCATCTTCCCACCTGCATCACAACAGTTGTGACGTAACTGGAGCAGCTTTCGGCAAGTTCTTTGGAGACACAAGGCGGTGTTGCATAACCCACGGCAGAGACAATTTCTGGGTTGAACCCCAGCTCCTTAACTGACTTTTTACGGAGCATTATTGCAAGTACAGCAGCTGTAGAACCTCCGAGAGAATGACCAACCAGCCTTAACTTAAATCCCTGTTAATGAATTGGGCTCAACTACAACCAACAATGACAAAAAATATGGTCGGGAGAAAAAAACATAAAACCCACGAACAAGATTACATCATCTAAAAAAACAATAACAAAGAAAAGTGGGAGGGTAAAAAGATTCGCCACCTCATATTTCTCCAAGCACTTCCTTATATTTCCCATCTCATGACTAAGAAACCAGCGAGCAGCTTCTGCAGTGCCAAAGTGTGTTGAATAACCCTCAAACGTGACTTCATCATCGCTTGAAGAAACAACATCAGTTATAAGGTCATATACAGTGTGAGTACCACGAATTCCTAAAATCACAAGTTTTTTACGAGGATCTATCCCTATATAATATCCAGGCCTCATGACACTGGAATCTTTGACAAATTTCAAGACATTGCTTTCACGAAGCATGGTGTTCCTTGCAAGAGCTGCAGTACTATCCTTATAAGAACCTTTTGCTAACTCAGAGTGGTAGATGAGATCTTGTACCTAAAACACAAAGCAAATGCCAAATAACTAATGACAACCACATTTTTTACCACAATCAAACTTGCCACAAAATATTATGTGTTTATACAAAGTAAAGAAAAAATTTCAGAATTAAAAAGGTCACGTAATTGGTATTACCATTGAATCTGAGGAGACCTGAACACCATTAACATCCTCAAACGGATTTACAGAAGCTTGACGAAGATAAATAAGAAACAAACCAATGGTGAGATCACTCAAACTCCAATCCTCAATTCCTATCTTACTCCGTTGGATGTTTGCAATGATCTCCGAGACCGATCGAGTTGTGGGTGGAGTTTTGTTTCCCACTCCATTTCCTGCAATTTTCAAAACTGAACAATCTTCACTCCCAACTCAAACTGAAAGATTCCAAATTAAACAAATTCAATCAAAAGCAATGACTACCCAAGTTCTAAATGACAAATTTTGATTCTTTTCAACCATGCCAAACCGCAACTTCTAAATTACACAATATTTTTCTCATGAACAGCTAATACTGCAACTTCCAAATTACAAATTCATTCAAAACAATGACTACCCAATTGCCCAAACATGACAAGTTTTTATCTTTTTTAACAAAAGCGATATTCTAAACTACTCTAATTTACAGAAAAGGGATTCGAACTCGGGTACCTGCTGGGGTTGGCAGAGCCCATCTGCACAATTGAAGAGCTGGCTCGAGAACTCTGGGCAGCCAAGCAAGCTCCAACCTTTTCTCTTTACCATCCACCAAATCTTCATCCTCACTCGAATAGCTGCTAATACCATCAGCAGCTTGCGGAGGAACAACAGCTTTCAGCTTTTTCGGTGTGTCCGATTCTCCTCCTTTCTCTGCTTTCGAGTGCTGCGATTGAAACCGATTCACGTAGCTGTATACAAACCGCTGGTAAAATTCCTCCCTCTTCACAGAGCTTTGCATAAAATCTACACATTCCGTGATCCAAATAAAATATAAGCAAACATTCAATCTTGCAGGTTGAAATGAATAAAAGAACAAAGCAAAAGCGCGTTTGGGCTAAAAGTGCTTACACAAGCTGTGGAAGAGCCGCTTGGAGAAACGCTTAGCCAATTCCATAACTAACAGAAAGAGATAGAGAGGGAGACGGCTCGGAGATTTAAGGCGGTTGGCAATGGCGGTGGCGGTGGCCGCGGAGGAGGAAGCAGAAGAGCAAGTGGGTTGAAACAGCTTCGAGTAGTTTCAGTTTTTTTCCGGGCATATCAATTGGGCTGGGCCGGGTTGGGAAAACGGGTGAGGCCCGTATAGAGACTCCAGGCTCTTAACCCAAATGTTGCCCTAAAGGCCCAAGCTTTCACCATAAATATCCAATCTTTAGGGTTTCTCTGGCATCACCATTTCACACTCTGCGATAGCAGTGGCGGGAGCCGCTCTGCTGCCGAAAAGCCCCGGTCTTCCTTTCTGCTTAAACCCTAGTAATATTCTCTTTCTGTAGTTTTCTTTTGTTCTGCTAGTGCTGGTGAAAAACCCTAATCTTTGTTTCTGCTTAAAACCCTAGGAATCCTTATTTTTTTTCTTTTTGATTTGAAATTGTGCGTTGGGGAGATTTGAGATGAGGATTAGATTTCGTATCCCTATTGGTTTGAACGCTGTGATGATGGCGAAACTATGTATTAGCTCTATCTGATCTTTCTCCCCCCACAAAACCCTAACTCTGCTATTTGATTTTATTCATCGATTTTTGTGTTTTTTTTTCAATTTTCAAATTTTGTAGTTTTGTTTGAATTTGGTCCTTTAGTTTTGAAGGAATTGATGGGAAATTGGAAGAATTGAGAATGAGGTGATGATTTGAACTTTGTGTTCCCTATTGGTTTGATTTGCCGCAATGATGGCATCAATGTATTAGCTCTATCTGATCATTCTCAATCCTTCCAACCTCTCCAAGAAAATGAAGAACCAACTCAAATCTAATCAATTATCTAATAATGTTTCAGATGTGTTCTTAATTGGACATGCTTCGACACTTACATTTCGATATTGGTATCGAGACTTTGCTTCCCGTTAAATTTATTTTTGCAAAAAAATAGATAAATTTAAAATTATTAAGATATTTATTTGTAATTAAAAAAATGAATACGGTTGGACCTAACAAAATGTTTATCACAATGGACGGCAAAGTGCGTCTCCAGATTTGAACCTTATAAATTTTGGGTTGAAAGACTTATTTTGATTAATGCAATTGGGCCTGAATAAGACTAGGATGGAGTTGGGTTGAAAGACTTATTTTGATTAATGCAATTATAGTTTGCCTATGTGAATTGTTGGGGAAATCTGGAAAAATAATTCAACCCCATATAAAATCATAATCTTCATTTTAATTTTACGCTAATTATAATCAAAACTTGAAGTAAAAATGCTAATACATCTTAATATTAGGTTTCTCACAATAACCAAAACACGAAGATACCTTAAAATGAGGAAATAATCTCTATCATATTTTTTGTTTTCATTATTCTCTACAACTTTCTGCAAAATTATCATGAAGTTAAAATTATGACTATAGTTCTATATAAAGGGTATATTAATACTTTTACATTAAATTTTAGTTATAATTATCATATAATTAAAATTATGACTATAATTTTATATGGAATTCAAAATTTGATTATTTTTCTAAATTTTCCGAATGTTTGGCTGTTGTGGGGCTAATTCTAAGTGGGATTTAAGGACGTGTTATTTAGGTCTTTTCAATTTATGGGTAAAGATTATGTTCAATAGGAAAAGGTTTGTGAAGTTGGCCCATCGGTTCTGGATATCTTACTCCTAGGTGTTGTTTTGGCATTTGCGCTGCTTAAAAGTATCGTCGTTTGGTAGAAAAGTTTAACTACCTACATTTTACACCCTTAAAATTTATGGTGATTTAAATCGGCCATGAGGTTTTAATTTTCTCAAATTGCTTCTTAAGGTTTTGAAATTGTATAAATTTACATCTTTTCTATATTTGAACGTCTAATAATCTATTTAAAAGATGAGTTTTTAGACTATGTGGTAAAAATATGGTTTATATATGACAACTCAATTACAGATCTTACTCTTACTACGTCATCAATTTAACGAAGAAAACATAACTTTAACACCCCCCGTCTCTCCGAGTTTGTTCCCCTTCGCTCTCCTCTCTCCATCTGACCTACAACTACAATCCACCACAGAGGCTAATGATATGAAGTTTCCGATGGCTTCTGCACCAACCGGCGGGGTCGTATCCATTTGTAATAGTAACTTGCATCAATACTTCTAAACTTTAAGTTAATTTAAGGTACTTGAATTGAAGAGGAAACCATTAAAAAAAATCCTCATTAATCGAAAAGTTATCAAGTATGTTGATCACATCATTGTGATGTTACTAATTCACTTGTGAGATAAGTATTTGATTGAGAAAGTTTTTAGTACGTATGACCACTGAAATAAATGGTTTTTTTTCTAGAATATATGAAATGATCCATTTCATGCGCCTGGGTCTTGCGACCCCATCTGCCTATTGTCTTCTTCTGTGAGGTTCACCTCTTTTCTATCATCTCTGTTTTTTGGAAATCATCACATCACCGCATAATATTACTAATCCACGTGTTATAAATGAGTAAAAGATGAAAGTTAATTATATTCACATAATTTAGCATGAGACAACTAGCTAGACACCTCTATAATCTGCTAAAGCAGTCGGCAATGCTTTCACACCAACTTCCCCACGGCATTATTTTCATATAAAAAGATGCCTGAAGCCTCCCCATTCTGTCACTCATCACAAACAGAAATACCTGTTTACCAAAAGAGTAAACATGGCCTCTTCTGTCTATTTCATTAACATTAGTCATGTTAGGTTCACTTTGTCTCTTTTGAATCTTTGCAGATTAATCAGATAATTCATTGTCATTTGCTTGTGCAATAACACTCGTGAGTTAAACAAAGAAAAGTTTAACTACCTACATTTTACACCCTTAAAATTTAAGGTGAATTAAATCGGTCATGAAGTTTTAATTTTCTCAAATTGCTTCTTAAGGTTTTGACATTGTATCAATTTTACATCTTTTCTATATTTGAACGTCTAATAATCTATTAAAATGATGAGTTTTTAAACTATGTGGTATAAATGTGCCTTACATATGACAACTCAATTACAGATCTTACTCTCACTACGTCATCAATTTAACGAAGAAAACATAACTTAAACACCCCCTGTCTCTCCGAGTTTGTTCCCCTTCGCTCTCCCCTCTCCATCTGACCTACAATCCACCACAGAGGCTAATGATATGAAGTTTCCGATGGCTTCTGCACCAACCGGCGGGGTCGTACCAATTTGTAATAGTAACTTGCATCAATACTTTTAAAATTTAAGTTAATTTAAGGTACTTGAATTGAAAAGGAAACCATTGAAAAAGAATCCTCATTAATCAAAAGTTTTCAAGTGCGTTGGTCACATTGATGTGGTTTTACTAATTCACTTATAAGATAAGTAATTGATCGAGAACATTTTTAGTATGACTACTGAAATGAGTTGTTTTTTTTTTAGCATATATGAAATGATCCAATGCATGTGCCTGGGTCTCGCGACTCCATCTGCCTATTGTCTTCTTCTGTGAGTTTCGCCTCTCTTCTATCATCTCTTTTTTTTTGTAACTATCACACCACCACATAGTATTACTAATTCACGTGTTATAAATGAGTGGAAGATAAATATTAATAATTATATGGGGCTTTTAGATCCAGGTCCAAAAACGTAGAGTGTTTTTAGGAATGAGTCCAGTTATCTAATTATATGTTTTTATTTCTTTTATACTCATTTTATATTTTCTAAAAATATTAAAAATCAATTAAAAGCTTCTAATATTATGCATTTTCCAACTCCAAAAAAATATATGTAATATTTTATAACAAAAAAACTAATATACTAACATAAATTTATCTGCAAAACATTCTACCCTAACTCAAGTAACAAATATATGAATGTATATAATACCTATACGTGAGATATGAAACCTAATTAAAAGGTAGAAAAAACATAACATACCTACAAGCAAGACACATTAATCTGTGATAGGTTGATTATAAAAAAAGAATATGTCATATAGGTAGATAAATATAATTAACCTGTGATATAAGTTGGTTATAAAAACTAAAAATAAAATCTATAAATGGGGTTTAAAGCAGGAGGAAGAACAAGAAATAACAAAAAGATAAATAAAAAGAAATAAGCAAAGAGATAATTGGGAAGAAATTTCATTTTTATAATAAATCTTATCATTAAACGGATAACCATTGATAATTAAATAATTAAATATAACAAATTGGACTTATTTTAATAAACTGGACTATTCCTACTATTGGCTCAAAAAATTGGACTTATATCAAGTTTCTCCTAATTATTATATCCACATACTTTAGCATGAGAGCAACTAGCTAGACACCTCTATGATCTGCTAAAGCAGTCGGCAATGCTTTCACACCAACTTCCCCACGGTATTATTTTCATATAAAAGATGCCTGAAACCTCCCCATTTTGTCACTCATCACAAACAGAAATACCTGTTTACCAACGAAAAGAGTGAACATGGCCGCTTCTGTCGATTTCATTAACATTAGTCATGTTAGCTTCACTTTGTCTCTTTTGAATCTTTGCAGATTAATCAGATAATTCATTGTCGTTTGCTTGTGCAATAAGACTCGTGAGTTTTGTGTCCACATTTCTTGATCATGATCTCCATCTTTTCTAAATTAAACAAAGAAAGTATTTCCTTTCGTTCTCTCAATTCTATATAAAGTAGAAAACTTCACTCTTTAAACTTGAACTCCCAAAACCAAGCCAGGATCAATAAAGTTGTCACTCAAACTTTTCACTAATCAAAAAGATATATTTCAAGATGCCTGGGTTGGATCATGAGCTGGAGGAAGAAATGAAACAATTCGACGAAACAAAAGCTGGTGTGAAAGGCCTTGTAGATTCTGGGGTGACCAAGCTCCCAAGGATGTTCAAACACCCTCCAGAGGATCTACCGTCCCCTAACCATAACAATGGCATTAGCAACCTCCAAGTTCCTGTCATTGATCTCGAAGATGTCGAGGACAGCGAAACGCGGAGCAAAATCATCAATGACCTCAGAAAGGCAGCTGAGGAATGGGGTTTCTTTCAGATTGTGAACCATTCAGTTCCAGTTGGTGTGATGGATGATGTGCTGAAAGGCATTCGACGATTTCATGAGCAGCCCCAGGAAGCCAAGGAGGTGTGGTATTCGCGCGATTTCACGAAGAAGGTCAACTTCGTCAGTAATGCAGAATTCAAGGTGTCTCTTCCAGCTTGTTGGAGAGACACATTGTCTTGCAAGGTCCTAGAAGATGAGCATAACTTCGAGGCAATCCCTGAAATCTGCAGGTAAACAAGTAATGCTACCTCACCAATTCTATTAACTTCTGTTAACTAACTTATCTCTCCTTGTATCACTCAAATCTGAGCTCACTCTGAAATCTGTTTAAACACTGACGCGTTTATGTAATGAAAATAAAAGGAATTGAATTAAGGAAGAGTTAGAATAAAGAGAAATCAGAATCAGATTCCTGTTGAAGCTATTTACTTAAATATTCTGGAATCGGAATATAAACTAATATGATTACTAAAATGCTCTTGTCCCAAATCAAATATTTTATATACCTTTTCTAAAAAAATTTGATATAATATATAATAGTAAGAAAAAATTTTAATATATAATTTTTTTTATAAAATTTGTTATAATATATAATAGTAATAAAATTTAATATAATATAAAATAGTAAAAAATGACAGTCTAGGGTTAATGGATTTATAAAGGATAATCTCGGAAATAAAAAAAAGTAAGTGATGGCATAAAGAAAACAAAAGTGTCATTCCGACTGCCTAAGCAATCAAGAATACAAATACCATGTTAATCTAAGAAATCCAAATCCTCCAAATTTTGGAATTGAATTTTGTATGGGTCCCACCTTTTCTTTTATTCCCCAAGTTTAGTAAACAAAGATATATCTCATAATCAGAATTCAATTCCATGTCTTAATTCTAATTACGGTTAGGTGAACGCGTCCTAAATTATTTATTTTGCAGGGCGGAAATAAAAGAGTATATGAAGTACCTTGTTCAAGTGAAGGATAAGCTTTCTAAATTAATTTCGGAAGCTTTAGGTCTAACCAGCGATTACCTTGACAACCTAAGGTGCTTCGAATCGAGGTCATTGGCATGCCACTATTATCCAGTTTGCCCAGAGCCCCATTTGACTCTCGGCGGACACAAGCACTCTGACCTCGGCTTCATCACCTTGCTCTTGCGAGCTAGTGAAGGCCTACAGTTACTTCATCAAAATGTTTGGATTGACGTTCAACCGGTGAAGGGAGCTTTGCTTGCCAATGTATCTGATATGCTGCAGGTACTGTAACTAATATAGCTATCTTTCCCTTATCTTTTATAGCCCTGTGTGCGTGATGGAGTACTAATAGGTCCATCTAAATGTTTATTTGCTGTACAGATCATTACTAATGGCAAGTTCAAGAGTGCAGAGCACAGAGTAGTACTTCCACCAACCCTCGAGCCCCTTACATCAATTGCATGTTTCATTGGCACAGACGACCTCCAAAAACCATACGGGCCGTTAAAGGAGCTTATATCCGAAAACAATCCACCAATTTACAAAGAAGTCGTTTTTGGAGAGTACGTGAAACGTTACAAACTATAGGTTTGAAGGGATAAGGATGGTAACTTTGTGCTTACTCACTTCAGAGTTTCTCTGAGACTATGCTAGTTAAGTCACGAACCTTGGAAGTGTTATGGTTATGTTGCTATGTTTCTTTTCACTTTTCGGTTCTTGTAGTAATATTGTAATTTTCCTTTTTTCTGAAGTTCGGTACGGGTGATCTTCTAATCATTTCCTCTCTCAATTGTATTAGAGGACAATACTACTAAGAACGTGTACTTCTACATCCGAAATTTCGAGTTTGAATATATTATTGAATCAGGATCAAGACACTACAAAAAAGAAAGCAATACATGGCTATTTTTAGACTAACTGTTCGGAAACAAGACAAATTATTCGGACACATTTCCCCCCTATAACTTGTACAGTGCCATGGGAAATTATTTGACTCAAAACCCTCCAAAATTATTGAAAATACATAATCAATCTGGTGTATGTGTGTATAAATGTATTTTGTATACCGTCTCTTCTTCCCGGACGTTTCTATTTGTGTGTTTTCGAACTGTGTTTAATTATTCCAACGTGGCAGTGGGACAGCAAACAACTTCATCAGACCATCCTTGCAGTTCTTGCCATCTTTTTCACCACTGGCAAAGTAATAAGGCCTCCACTGAGTCAGCTCGACCTTGAAGCCGTCGCCACCTCCCTCCGTCTGACTCGCCAGCAGCTTGGCTTTGCTGAAGTCGCAGGTTATGTAGCTCCACAGGTTAGGCAGTTGGTATACGCTATAGCCGGAATTTGCCTCGCTCGGTGGATCATATTTGAACACTGCAAAATAAACAACAATAATTGGCGCATGCAAGTAATAATCGAGCTATGACATCTGCTCTTTACTTAAAAAACTGATTTCGACATGGCATTGATAATATGTTGACATTATTGTTGCAAACAAAATATAACATACTGATGCATTATCGATACAGTATCAATATGCTATTGACTATTGTAAATTTGTAATGAAAAAATGGTTGTCATACAGAAAGACTTTAACGCACATAAATCGTTAGAGGGTGCTAACCTAATTGGTCATTTTTGTAAAAGGGGCTGTTTTGGAGAGCCCAATCAGTGTAGTTGAACCCGAAACGCCAGCCTTCGGACCCTCCAACGATGACAGTTCTGGCCTCGCTCACTGCCAATAGAGAGGCAGCAGCAAGGAGGAGGATGAACCCTTGTGCATTAGAACTCAAAGCCATTGTTACACCTTCGGTAATGTGCTTACGAAAAGTATATAAACTTGAATGTGTGAGAAGGTGATGAAAAAGATGAGAGAGTCGTGGGGTTTATATAGGAAATCAAAAGTGACTAGTACTGCTTCTTTCTCTTGGTTGGTGAAAATGTGAGGCTTTTGATTCAACTAATTCAGCATTTTCACATTTCCAAGTTCCAGAAGCTGAATTTTAAAACCCTTTTTCTCATTTGGAAATTACTGAATTGCCAACTTTCAGATTGCATCATAAGTTTTTCTCGTTAATTAACTGGTTGTGTGTTAACATAAACCGGAAAAGTGGAGGGGTAAAAGAGTAAAATTGATTGGCTGATGTCAAGTGATTCTGGTCAGCGTAAATTTGGTGATTATCCATGAAGAGCAAGAATTTCATGTAATTGCTATGATTAGTGGCGCATTAACAGTTTAGAGACATTTGAAAGGTCAACCAAGGCAACGGAAGGCAAGCGTGGGTATGTTTTGAGAAGAGGATTCAACTGATACTACAATCTAATAATAATCATATTCATTTGTAAATTAGATGTTTTATGTTTGAATCTCATAGATAACGAATTTCATACCTAATTATGTTGCTCATTTTGTAACTTAGCCGAACTCCCCCATTCCTTTACACATATACCACATCGACAAATTTGCTAACAAATAAGTGGAAGACTTCTAGGAGGCGCCACAACTTGTGCGGATGAAATGCGTAACGAACTTTAACTGTTTTTCAAACCCAAAACGTCTTCTCCAACCGTCCAAAACCCTAAACCCTCAGAACCCACCATCCATAGTTGAAAAATTAAAGAAATGTTCGACTCCAACAGAGCTAGAAAGTGTATGTGCCTCAATGATCAAGACCAATGCCATCCAAGACTCTTTCTTTACGAACCAACTCATCACTGCCCTTTCGACTTTTTCCCACCTAGATTATGCAGTTTTAGCCTTCACCCAGATGGAAAATCCGAATGTTTTCGTCTACAATGCGATGATCAGAGGCTTTGTTCGTTGCGACCACCCATTTCAGGCTTTGAATTGTTACATCAATATGTTGAGGGACATGGTTTTGCCTAGCAGTTATACGTTTTCGCCGTTGATCAAGGCCTGCACCTCTCTGTCCGCATTGCGGGTTGGAGAGTCTGTTCATTGTCACATTTGGAGAAATGGCTTTGGCTCACATGTGTTTGTTCAGACTGCTTTGATTGATTTTTACTCGAAGTTGCGGCAAATAAGTGAATCCAGAAGGGTGTTCGATGAAATGCCTGAGAGAGACCCTTTTTCATGGACTACAATGGTTTCGTCTCACGCTCGAGTGGGGGATATGAGTTCGGCGAGGATATTATTCGATGAGATGACGGAGAAGAATGCAGCTACTTGGAATACAATGATTGACGGCTACGCAAGAGTAGGTGATGTAGAATCTGCAGAGTTGTTGTTTAATCAGATGCCAACTAGGGATTTAATATCATGGACTACTATGATTGATTGTTATTCATAGAACAAGAAATTTCGAGAAGCATTAGCAATTTTCGATGACATGAGAACTAATGGAATCAACCCTGATGAAGTGACCATGGCAACTGTTATTTCAGCTTGTGCCCATCTCGGAGCTCTTGACTTGGGAAAAGAGATACATCTTTACACAATGGAGAACAGATTTGATCTCGATGTTTATATCGGATCTGCACTGATTGATATGTATGCAAAGTGCGGCACATTGGAGAGGTCTCTTTTGGTTTTCTTTAAATTGCGGGATAAGAACCTGTTCTGCTGGAATGCAGCGATCGAAGGGCTCGCAGTTCACGGATATGCTAAAGAAGCACTAGCAATGTTCAGCAAGATGGAGAGAGAGAAGATCAAGCCAAATGGGGTTACTTTTGTAAGTGTTTTAAGTGCCTGCACTCATGCAGGACTTGTAGAAGAAGGCCGCAGGAGATTTTCAAGTATGCATGATCCACGATTATTCCATCTGTCCTGAAGTTGAGCACTATGGATGCATGGTGGATCTGTTGAGCAAAGCCGGCCTGCTTGAGAATGCACTAGGGTTGATAAGAAGCATGGAGTTTGAACCAAACTCTGTTATATGGGGTGCATTGTTAGGTGGATGCAAGCTTCATAAAAACTTGGAGATTGCTCAAGTTTGTATCAAGGAGTTGATGGTGTTGGAACCAAATAATAGCGGGTATTTCAACCTTTTGGTGAACATGTGCGCTGATGCGAAACGATGGGCAGAAGTTGCAGATATTCGATCAACCATGAAGGAACTTGGAGTTGAAAAGGGTTGTTCTGGGTCCAGTTGGATTGAAATGGAAAGGAAAGTTCATCAGTTGAAAAGGGTTATAACCGACAGTAATACATTTATACTAAATAATAGGAACGTATTCCTGTTGATTATAACCGACAGGATTTCCAGTTTTTCTGGCCAGCCTTCCGGCCCTTTAGCCCTCTCTGATTCCGTGGGGCCCTCTTAGATTCCACAGCCCTCTGGCCTAACCCTCGGTTGGAGACGGTTTTCGGACTATTTTCGGCCCTCTGGCCCTCTGAACCCTTCAGTTGGAGATGGCCTAAGGTACTTGAATTGAAGAGGAAACCATTATAAAAAATCCTCATTAATCGAAAAGTTATCAAGTGTTGATCACATCGTTGTGGTGTTACTAATTCACTTGTGAGATAAGTATTTGATTGAGAAAGTTTTTAGTACGTATGACTACTGAAATGATTGGTTTTTTTGTTCTAGAATATATGAAATGATCCAACGCATGCGCCTGGGTCTTCCGACCCCATCTGCCTATTGTCTTCTTCTGTGAGGTTCGCCTATTTTCTATCATCTCTGTTTTGGGAAACCATCACATCACCACATAATATTACTAATCCACGTGGTATAAATGAGTAAAAGATAAAAGTTAATAATTATATTCACATAATTTAGCATGAGATAACTAGCTAGACACCTCTATAATCTGCTAAAGCAGTCGGCAATGTTTTCACACCAACTTCCCCACGGCATTATTTTCATATAAAAAGATGCCTGAAACCTCCCCATTCTGTCACTCATCACAAACAGAAATACCTGTTTACCAAAAGAGTAAACATGGCCGCTTCTGTCTATTTCATTAACATTAGTCATGTTAGGTTCACTTTGTCTCTTTTGAATCTTTGCAGAATAATCAGATAATTCATTGTCGTTTGCTTGTGCAATAACACTCGTGAGTTTTGTGTCCACGTTAAACAAAGAAAAGTTTAACTACATACATTTTACACCCTTAAAATTTAAGGTGAATTAAATCGGTCATGAAGTTTTAATTTTCTCAAATTGCTTCTTAAGGTTTTGAAATTGTATCAATTTTACATCTTTTCTATATTTGAACGTCTAATAATCTATTAAAATGACGAGTTTTTAGACTATGTGGTACAAATGTGCCTTACATATGGCAACTCAATTACAGATCTTACTCTCACTACGTCATCAATTTAACGAAGAAAACATAACTTAAACACCTCCTGTCTCTCCGAGTTTGTTCCCCTTCGCTCTCCCCTCTCCATATGACCTACAATCCACCACAGAGGCTAATGATATGAAGTTTCCGATGGCTTCTGCACCAACCGGCGGGGTCGTACCAATTTGTAATAGTAACTTGCATCAATACTTTTAAACTTTAAGTTAATTTAAGGTACTTGAATTGAAAAGGAAACCATTGAAAAAGAATCCTCATTAATCGAAAAGTTTTCAAGTGCGTTGGTCACATTGATGTGGTTTTACTAATTCACTTGTAAG